CCTGGGGCCAGCTGAGTTCTTGCAGGTCACAAAGATGCCTGGCTGGCTGCTGGGGCTGCTTACAATGCCCATCACAGATCTTCCTCCCACTGTGCTCAGAGCCAGCATGGGTGGCCACATGTGAGCTGAAGCAGGGCTCACTGCTGTCATCCCCCTGTGCCCCAAGTAAGCAAAATGCTTGTCCTACACCTTACTAGGCCTGGGTTCACCAGGGTACAGGCAGATTTGGAGTCAGGATTTGACTCTTCAGTTGCATGAAGAGGAGCACCAAGCCCAAACTCCCTCTCCTGAGCTGGCAGGAGGCACAGAGATGAAGGCACGGAGATGAAACCAGATTGTGCCCAGAGAAAAACTGGTCTTCAAGCAGGGAAACAAGGAGGCTGCTGGGATGGGGCAGGGAGGAGAAGGCAGTCTCACAGCAGCTGTCCATCACTGCTACCCATCCTCAGTGGTTTGAATGGGACAAGAATTGAGGATCTGAGACATAAAACTCCTGCCTGTGCTGGGAGTGACAGTGCATCCCAGAGTTCATCTGGCTATGCCCAGGAATCCCAGAGACCTGCTGTGCAACAGAAGCTGACCAAGAGCTCAGGGAGGAGCAGGAATAACACCCAGGTGCTGAGCTGATGTGCTGTATCAATACAGACTCTCCCTGCTGTGAGCCTTTGCTGAAGGAGTCTCCATGTATATTTTTCCTGGCATCTGCTCTCCCATTAAGCAGCTCAAGATGCTGTGGGCCCTGGGCAGCAGCTGAGACATGTGCTGGAGGGATATTTCCAACAACTCCCCACCCAGCAGGTGGGATGATGGTTGTGCCAGTGAGAAGACAGAGAAAACACAGCTGAGGCATCTCTGGCCCCACTGCAGCATCACAGGGGGGGATCCCTCAGTGCAGAGAGCAACAGCACCCTGTGAAACAGCAGGGCTGGGCATGCTGTGGGGGACTGTGCCATGCCATCCTATGGATGCTGGCACTGGGCATGCCAGGGAGTCAGGGGGGCTCCCAGAGCCCTCCAACTTGCCAGGCTGCCTGTTGTAGGGATCTAACCAGCTCAGCTTCACCTTCCCAGCACCAGATCACCCTGAACAGAAGCCACCTCTCCACAGGTGGTGGGCAAAGCACCATCCCCAGTTTGCCAGTCCTGCCAACACCTTTATTTTTTGTTCATTTATGCAGACAGGAGTGCCAGCTACAGAAACCAGCAGTTGCACAGCCCTTCGTGCCACACCAGGGTGGCACACACTGGGCCTGCCTCCCTCTGCTCAGCCCCAGCTATCAAATCTCTCATTAGTGAGGCTGGTAAAGGCGGTTTCATTCCCAGCGGATTAGAAAGGCAGATGGGGACATGCAGCAGTGATCTTAACTGGGTAGACTGGGAGGTGCAGCCGTTGCCAAGTGCACACCAAGGTAGGGAGGGCACTGGGGCTGTGTTGTGGAGAGGGTGGTTTTTTAATGATTTATTATTTCACAAATGACAGAGCCCTGAGCAGCAAATACTTGTCCAGAACCAGGAACAGCAAAGCTTTTAATGTGAGAGGGTTTTTTAGGTTTTTGTCTCCCTGGGGCTCAGGGGGGAGTGAACCCACTGCAGCTCCTGCTGCCACGCAGCAGCTGAGCCTCTGCATGGAGGCAAGAAGAGGGTTTTGTCTTGGGTGCAGATTGAAAGCACTGCTTAATCAGCACTCCATGAGACAATCCAAATTCCAGGAACTGGAAGGGGTTTGTGTCCCTGCCAGGCGTAATATCCTGCAGCCCAGACTGGCCTGACTGCCAAAGCACACGGTATCTGCAGCGAGGACCTTGCTGGGAGCCAAGAAGCACACGCATTCAGCTGGATACAGCAGCAGCGCCGGCAAATTCCCATTTTAATGAGCATGGGGGGAACAAAAGAGATAAATCACTGGGTTCAAGCACTCTCTTGGCAGAGACACCCACCGATGCTTTTATGACCAACAGACATAGCAGCTCGCTCCAGAATAAGCCATAATGGGCCTTGCAGGATTTCTCTGTCATGTTTATTTCTCCCATCTGTTGGCTTTGGGCATCACCCATCACACACATATACAGGTGGCAGGTGGTGACATGAGCCCACATAGGACTGAGCAGGGATTTGCTCTTCATTGAGGGATGGGATCTGCTGTCATCCCTGAGCATCCCAATGCCTGGAGGAGGTTGATGTGGATTTCCATAGCAGGAGCCTTTTTTTCACTGGGATGAAATAAAACAAAGCCAAAACCCTGTTTGAACAAAACTTTTCCCAGGCAATGCACAAACTGTGTTGCTTCAGTAAAATATTTCCCTCCTGTGAACTGACAGACAGGCTCATTTTCCATCTTGCTGAAAGATATTAATTCCCCTCACCCCAAAACACCACCAAGTGCTCCAGCTACCCTGTTCCCCAACCCTGCAGGGAAGGAAAGTGGCTTTTGACAGATTTTTGCATTTCTGGAGCCCTATAGAGGTCTAACACATCCAGAGCTTGATTCCTCTTAATGCACTGTGAACAGAGATCTGTGTTCTAACAGAGGTCAGAAGATTTGATCTCCACATATTGTGACCTGAGAAAATCCAGGCTGAGCTACTGTATGTTCATTTGTGATCTCCTAGAAGTGAAACATCCTGTTGAACTGTAACACAACTGAGATCAGTCCTGAAGTCTGAGGACTTCAGAGTCATCCTTCTTGCTAATTAGGATCAGCTCCTTGTAAATGCTGAATTCCTTTCTGAACTAAGCTGAGCTTTAGAGGAAGAGGTACTGGAAAAGTCAAATCTCACAAAGAAGAGGTGACTATTAACAGGGACAGGTGGTTGGGTTCTCCTGGAACCTTTCATATGATGCCCAGCACCTGCCTCTGCTTCAGGCAAAATGTCCTCTCATAACCCACTGTCTCTGCTTGCATATTTGCTAGGACATGGGAAAAACTAAAAATAAGTGTGAAAAAAATCCTTTCCCATTTTATGCATAGCAATGCTCTGGGGAGCTGGCAGGCTGAGCAGGCAGGAGGCTGCAGGTGTGGGTCCAACTACCTAGGCTGGGCTCAGCAGGGTTGCACAGATCACCACAGCCTGGCTACTGACCCCTCTCCAAAGGTCACCTGGGCACTGCCCCAGCTCTGAGAGCTGTGATTTGCTCCTTTGGCTGGTGCAACTGCACAGGTCCTGTCAAGAGCCTGATCCCTGGAGCCTTTAGTGCTAGCAGCAACCCTGGCTGAAAACACAGCAGGACTAATGATTGAGTGTCATGAAGTAAAATCCACTTGTGTCCATCAAGGCTAACGAGATCCTACGTGATCTCCTCGGTGAATAAGTGTGTCAGGCTCCCCCACCTCTACCCCCATCACCCA